GGAGTGTGGGTGAGAGGATTCACCAGAGATAGAGCAGGGAACAGAACAGGCAGACTGACGAAATACACTGCTGAGGGGAGCAGCAGCGAGACAGGAGAGATCTGCTGCGCCACATGGGACCCTCACTGGCCTGCCGGGATCAAACTGGCACTGCAGAGGCTGCAGACAGCTTCACAGCACGGTGCTCAACCTCCTCCGCCACCAGCGGAGGCCCTCCACAAATATTCTTGACACAATTTTTAAAAATCTTGACATCCTTTGAAAAAGCACAGTCTTAGATAACCTGCCAAGTTCACTCCCATCTCTGCCTTTTTTCACACACTTCTTCAAATGGGAGTCTCTGCCAAGTCATTCTCTTTTTCCGGGCCTTGTTTGATGCCACCTCCTCTGGGAAGCCTTCCTGACTATGCCAGAACACACCTTACCAAGCGTCTCTCACAGTGTTAGTAATGTTACCATTTAACACTCCTGTGTCTTCTGTCTTCTTCCTATCTTCTGTACCTGAAGCAACTTCTACACCAAGGCACAGACTGCTGGTCAGAATCTAGCATTCAGGGTATGATGGTTTTCTCTTAGTACATCTCAAAACTGTTCTTTTAGTTTATATTGATAATCTCATACTTCGTTGACAATGACAACTCTTACTTGTCCTTCCTTAGGAAGCCTTCCTTAACCCTGACGTACCTGGCTGAGTCTTTTCCAGCTAAATCTAGACACCACCTTTGGTTTCAAATTCTGGTCTGGTGAACATTCCTGTCCAATATAGCTAGTATAGCTCATCAGAACAGAATCATTAGGCCTCATCAGAACAGAATCAGTCAGTCCAGAAATAAACCTTTGTATATATGGTTAAATGATCCTCAGGGAGGGCTCACAATTTGTTTTTTGTTTTTGTTTTTGTTTTTTAGAAACAGGGAGAACAAAGCCTCACATCCCTATGGGGTAAAAGGATTCACCAGAGACAGAGTGGGGAACAGAACAGGCAGACTGACTGAAATACACTGCTGAGGGGAGCAACAGGTGAGACTGGAGAGGTCTGCTGTGCCATGTGGGTAGCTCCCTAGCCAGCTGGGGATTGAACTTGTAACGCAGAGGCTGCAGACTGCTTCACAGTGCTGTGCTTAACCCCTTGCGCCATCAGGGAGGCCAGCCAACAGCCTGTTTTAGGTGGGAAGAAGTCTTTTTCACAAATGAGGTTTGCAAAAGTGGAATTCCATATGCGAAAGAATGAAGTTGGACCCTCAGTTGACACCATATACAAAAAGTCACTCAAAAATTAACTTTAGAAGAGCTAAAACTAGAAAACTCTTACAAGAAAACGGTGAAAGGCTCAGGACATTGGACTTGGCAATTATTTCTGGGATATAACACCAAAAGCATAGTGACCAAAAGTAAAAATGGATAAATTAGACCACAACAAAATTAATTTTGTGCACCAAAGGACACAACCAACAGTGATAAGTGATAAAAAATGGTAGAAATATCCACAAATCATTTATCTAACAAGTTGTTAATATCCAAAGAATACACAGAATTTCCACAACTCAATAACAAAAAAACCAAACAACCTGATTCCAAAATGGCAAAGGACAGGAATAGACATTCCTAGAGTTGACATACAAACAGCCATCAAACAAATAAAAAGGTGCTTAATATCACTAAGGAAATGCAAATAAAAACTGCATTGAGATATCACTTCACACCCATCAGGATGACTGAAATCCAAAAAACCAAAAAACAAAAGTGTTAGTGAGGATGCACTGTTGGTGGGAATGTAAAATGGTGCCACTGCTATGGAAAACCACTATTCCTCAAAAATTAAAAATAGAATTCCCATAAAATCCAGCAATATAACTTCTAGGCATAATATCCAAAGTAATTGGGGCCTCACTGGTGGTGAAAGGGGTTAAGTCGTAGCACTATGAAGCTATCCGCAGCGACCGCAGCATGAGTTCGATTCCTGGCCAGGGAGGTGACCCACATGGTGCAGCAAACCCCTCCTGACTCACCTGCTACTCCCCTCAGCAGTGTATTTCAGTAGATCTGCCTGTTCTGCTCCCCACTCTGTCTCTGGTGAATCCTCTTACCCACCGCACCTCTGACCTGTACCCCAGTTCTTGTATGCACAAATAAATAAATTTTTAAAAAATCCAAAATAATTGAAGCAGGGTCTTAAAGAGCTGGCTGTACACATATGTTCACAGACATTATTCACAGTTGCCAAAAGATGGAAGCATCCCAGTGTCCACAGGCAGATGAAAAAGCAAAGTGTGGCCTATTCATAAAATGGAAAAGCATTCAGCCTTAAAAATGAAGGAAATATTGGCACAGCACATACAGCAAGAATGTTCTTACAACAGAGAACCTGGAAAACATTCTGGGTGAAATAAGTCAGTCTCAAAAAGACAAATACTGCCCTTACATGAGGGATTTGGAGCAGTCAAACTCACAGAAGCAGAAAGTGAGTAGTGTTACCAGGGGGAGAAATGAGCAGTTGTTTAATGGGTCTAGAGTTTCCAGATGGAAAGTTCTAGAGATTGGATGCATAATAATGTGAACTGCACACTTAAATTGGTTAGGATGGTAAGTACTTTACCCAGACATCACCCCTCTCCTCCCTCTCTAGTGTGAATTAATTGCTTCCTCCTTTGTGCCTCCACTTTTTCTCACATATAACATGATTAGGACTTTTACCACATTTTGGTATTATTTGACAGGATAAGGGTTAAAGGCCTTTGACACCCATTCTGAGGTGAAACAAATACTCCTCTACTTCTCTGGTCTTCACCAGATGTTAAGCAAAGGTGCCTATACTGAGGGTCTTTGGCAAGATGGAGTAGAGACAGTAGCCCTGAAGGCACAATATGCTCCCAGGGATGGTCATTAGCAAGGTGTGTCTACCTTGTACCTTGGAGAGGTTTCGCTCTGAAGCAGCACCTGGAGCGCCACTGCCCTTTGGCCATCCTTTCTTAGGCAGGATCTGGAAGACCTAAAGGGCTCTCTCCATTACCCTCACCACTTTCAAATGGCCCTTCCCCATCCTGAGGCCAACACTCAGAAATGATTGGCCCCACCTCATCTGGTCCTTTGGAGTGAAGAGAAGATGTTTATTCAAGATAGACTCAAGTTACAGTAGTTTAACAAATAGATGAGGTACTCCTGAGCAAGAAAGGAACTATTTTGATGCCTCCCCCAGACTCTCTCTATATACTTGATATCTAGCAAGAATTTTTTCTGATAATGCCCTGGAGCTTGCTGTTCTTCCAAGGGGATAGCTGAGAGGTTACATCTATTTGATCTGTCGTTCCTCCCTTTTGGGGAGTTCCTTTCTGGAATTACCTTTTACATGCTCGTATCCCCCGTGTCCACTATTCCTGGCACAGAGCTGGGGCCAAACAAATGACTGAATGATTAGACGGTGGAATGAATCATTACAACAACCCAGAGAGTTTTATAGCAGAGCAACAAGAGGAACTAGAGAGCCACAGGGAATATGTGCTCTGTGGGAGTGGGGAGCAGAGGTAGCAGGAAAAGAAAGTGGTTTCTCACATATTGAACAGGCTGATAAAAATCACCCCCCTGCCCCGCCAAGTTTCATGTCCTTTGTCTCACTGTCTTAAAGTATGAAAGTTATCTGGTCTCCAGGCAAATTTCCGTTCAATCCATAATTTCAGCTCTATCTGAAGCAGTATCATAACACGTCCTGATTCCACAAGCCACATGACTTGATTCACTTTTAAACTGGACATTGATTTATCTGCCTGATTGGATCTGATAAGGTCTGCTAACAAGAAGATGCTTATGTATGGCTGTTTTATGAAGTCAGTTCTTTATACATTTTTTCCTTCTCTGGAATCCTCCAAAGGACTCCTCACAATGAGTAGTCTAAAAGTGAGCTTTATTTGACAACATAAGTCAATGCAATGATTTGCCTTCAAGCTCACCTTCAGAGAATTTGCAAGCTGGAAGGAAGAATAAAGATCCCCTATGTTTCCTGGGTAAGGATATCTGTGATGGAGAGTTGCTTGGGTCACAGTGAGTTAGAACAAGAACTCAGAGCCCCTGGCCTCCAGTCCTCCTTCCTTTTCCTCCTGCTAAGTCTGCAAGGGAAGTCACATGTGCTGGGAGGCATCCAGCTCACCCTTGTCTGCATGTCTGTACAATTAAGGCTCCCTGTGGACAGCTCCATATTATCTGCATTAGGAGGAGAGTAATGAGCAGGCACGAAATTTCCGTAGGTTAATTTTCCTTGGAATATTCTGGGGGATTCCCCCCTTAAAGCCCCATTCTCCATGGTGCTGACTTGAAGGTATTGTTCCACAAACTGAGGATAAGGGGACAGTCCAGCAGAAGCAAGATTTTGCCATAAACAGAGCAGTGTTGCTGATGTGCTGCGTGTGGGGCAAAGAGCCACTGCCTGCTCACCGGCCTCGGAATCATTTATGCATCACCTAACAGGCAGTCTCCTAACTGAACACCTACTGTGTGCCTGACTGAGGGCTGCCCTCCCTCCTCCCTCATCAGGCCCAAGGAGGCTTACGAACCAGCAGGCGCAGACACTTAGGATTCTCATCCAGGATCTGGCCTTAACTTGTGCTGCGACTCAGGGCCAAGTATTTTGCGTTCTTCAACACGGTGGCCTGTGGCTTTAAAGGAAGGGGGTAAAGAAGATTTTTCCAAGGATAAAGGTATTTTTGGGAAGTGGAGGCGCACACAAAACAAGCACAGCAACAGCAGGAGTGCTGTGCCGCTTTGCGGGCTTCGGGTCCCGGGAGCACATCCACCCCACCCCGGGGAGCAGGCTGCCCGCCGCGGGTCCAAGCGACTCCCCCAGCCGGCCTCGGGGACCCCGGGCAGCCGAGGCCAGGGGGGCGCCTTTCGCTTTAAGAGCCCCACGGGCGATCCTGATTGGCTGTAGCTATGCAGGTCTTTCTTCCCCGCTCCCTGCGAGTGCTCCCTCCTCCGCCGCTCGTCTCCGCTCCTTCCACACCCTCCTCCCCCGACTCCCCTGCACCCCCTCCCGCCCCTCACACTCGCCTCCTCTTCCCTGCCGCGGAGTTGCGCCCCGGCAGCGGCATGGGTGGCGCGCCAGCAACAGATGCGGGGCGCCGAGATCTGCATCCCTAGGCCAGCCTGAACGCCGGGGGCAGAGCGGAGGCACCAGCGAAGGCGGGGACGCGAGGTGCGGGTTTCCCCCCTAAAAGGCAGAAGCCCCCGCCCCCACCGGAGAGCTCCGCGCCGGCAGAGCTCCTGCTTGCACCGCTGCCGCCGGCGCCCACCTCTCCCCAGCCATGCCAGGCCCGGCGGCCGACGGGGCCAAGGTCCCCTTCCACCGCGCCAAGGAGGAGATCCGTGCGGGGGTCGAAGGCTCGGAGGCTAACGGCGGCCCGGAGAGGCCGGACGCGCGCGGGCAGCTGCAGAACATCGTCTGGAGGAACGTCGTCCTGATGAGCCTGCTCCACTTGGGGGCCGTGTACTCCTTGGTGCTCATCCCCAAAGCCAAGCCGCTCACTCTGCTCTGGGGTAAGTCCCACCCGGGCACCGCGGCGGCGCCGGGCCAGGGCGCGCGGGGTCGCGGGGCGCCGCGGGGCTGCGGGCGGTGCGGAGTCCCCAAGCGCGCCCCCCGGCTCCGCCCGCGCGCCCTGGACCCGCTGGCCCACAGTTGCCGGTCCTTCGCGACGGACAGATATTTCTGTCCAGGTATTTCCAACTTCTGCCTCCCCCGCTGTCTGCCCGAGTAGGCGCCTTGGCCGGCTCCCGGATGGAGAGCGGGAGGGACCCGGAGTCCTGCGGCGCCGCCGCTGTGCGCAGAGGCGCGCGAAGGGAGACGCCAGGCGCTGGCTGATCCCCACTTCCAGCGGGGAGGACCCGCGCGGTGATCGCGGCGCCAGTGCGGCTCCCCGGGGCTGTTTGATCCGCCGCCTGCAGCTTCTCAGTGCAGCTTCTCAGCGTGCTCCGCGGCCACGGACCTTGGGGCCGAGTTAAGGACAAGAAAGGGAGTGGAGAGGTGGGGTGACCGCGCAGGAAGGTCTTGATTTTCGCTCACCAGATGGAAGGAAACTGTTCCCTTCTTGCCCCTGCAAGGCCCCTACCCTTGACCCCTGCGTGATTTGCAGCTGCATTTCTGTGATCCCAGAAGTTTCTCGGCAAACAAACGGAGCCCAAGGAGAATGCTCTGCGCCGCCCCCTCCCCAGCCCCCGACAAAGCTTCGACTGTGGTGGTGCAGAGTCCCCTGCAGGCCCTGTCCCCCTTCTGACCAATACAGGTCTATCGCCTGTACCTGTAGCTTCCCGCCACCCTTTTTCCTAGCACCCATAAACCTGCAGACAGGGGAGGGAATCCTGGAGACAACCCGACCCCCCCCCCCGCACCCCTACAGGACTCCCCTGGACCTCTGGACCACCTCGATGACCCCCTCACTGGTTTTGTCTTTAGTCACCCTAGAGACAGTAGATAGGACAAAAGGGGCACCCTCTAATATCCTGGGCTAAGAATTTCTTCTAGGTAACCCAAGAAGCCCATTCAGCGCTGTCTCCAAGATCTCTAAGGAATGGGGCCAGGAGAAACACAACCCACTTTTATTTCCAGAGGGGAAGAAGAGAAGACTTCTTGCCATGAAGCTTCTTATTTGGCACAGGGCCAGCTTCAGATGCCTAGGTGGAGAATGGGGCCACTCAGGTTCCACACTTTCCCTTGAAACTGTGCAATCCCTGTTCTTGGAAGCAAACCCTATCAGAGCTAGAGTACATCTAAGGAGGGGTGTGTCTGAGGGAGGGAACAGAGTTGAGGCTTGGTGAGAGGGGGAGGGTCTTTGGAAATCTACGAAACCTTTTAAAGGTTTCAACCTAAATCTCTTTTTGACTTCCTGCTCCTCCTACCCCCAGGCAATGCACTTCCTCAATTCTGTGTCCTTTTCATCAAGGTTTTTGTTTTGGGTTGTTTTAATTCTCAGTTTGCATTCCTTCTGTAATTTTTAAATGTTAGACTGTAAGATGTTCAGCCATTGCTTTGCAGACACCCCCACACTGCCAGCAAAAACCCTTATAGCCCTAGAGCCTCCATGGAGCTCCTCCTCACCCTCTCAGGCCCATGATGTGCCCTTGGATTTCAGAGCCCACCTGCTTCCAATGCTCTTAATATCTGCAGTGTCAGAGAGTTCAGGGAGACATGAGTACTTAAAATATTATTTTACATGCCGGGTACTCCACAGAGCCCACAGGCTCCACTCCCTACAGCCACCAAACCCTGTTGCCCCTGGCACCACCAGGAGCCAGATTTGCCAGTTCACTCCTGCCTTTTCCAATACTGCTCTCCGTGGTGAACATAGAATCTTTATTTTGAAAGCCCTTGGCCGGAAGAAGCCTCCTAGCCCCAGACTCCTCCAGCATCTTTGGAAAAATTAACTCAGTGCAAGAACTGGGTTCTCCTTTGTGAGGGATTTTGCCAAACCCCATTCTTGTACCTCCCTGCAGAGTCTTCTGCCTTACTTACTTTTCATCAACTCCATTCTCTGAATATAAGTTGTCTCCTGACCTGTGCCACATTACCTCCATTAAAACAAAACAAAACAAAACAAAACCAGACAGTTGTGGCTATGGTAGTTTCAAGGCCCAAAATTGTGGCTTAGAAATATTCCAAACAAACGAATCATTCAAACAAATGAATGAATAATATCTTTTTTAAAAAAATATTTATTTATTTATTTATTTATACAAGCACTGGGTACACTCAGAAGCGCGGGAGGGTAAGAGAATTCACCAGAGTCAGACTGGGGAACAGAATAGGCAGACTGACGAAATACACTGCTGAGGGGAGCAGTGGGCGGCAGGAGAGGTCTGCTCGCCAATGTGGGACCCTCAGCGGTGGCGGGGAATCGAACCGGCCTTGCAGAGGCTGCGGGCAGCTTCGCAGCCCAACACTCAACCACTGCGCCACCAGGGGAGGCCCACCTGAATAATATATTGTGAGAAGAAAACATGAGGGGCAGAGATCAGCCAAGGGGGTTATGCTGATGGCTAAGCTACACAGGGCAGAGGGCCGGGGCTCAGGGTTAATTTCAGAGAAAGTTCAGTGCCTTGACCCACAAATGTCCCCCAGCTGAATGCCTTTTTCACTACCCCCTCCACCAGCCCTGTCTAGCTTTAGGGCTGAGTTCATGCCCCAGTGGTTGCTCATCCTCTTCGGGGACCTGGGTTGTCAAGGAAATAGTCTTCGCCCATCTATTTCATTCCACCCCTCACCCCAGGTGAGGTTGCCCTAGAAACAAGAAGCATCCATGCAGTACACCCAGCAGAGGGGGTGTGAGGTGTGCAGTGTGCGGGAGTCATTTGTGTGGTGATAAAATGTCATCCACGAAAGATCCATCAACCTCCACCAGTGCCTATCCCCCAGCTTTTTATCACTCTCCTTTGGACGAGATCCAGTTGTTTTCCTTTCTTATCCTTCCTGTTTTCTGAGTGGGCAGACTGTCAGAACGGAATGCTCCTTGTGTCCCCAGGTCCAGAGGGATGAGTTTATGAGTTTCAAGGACACAAAGTTAATTCCAGTTGGAGTTAAAAATCTTTGCCTGAAGGCCTGAGCTCACAAAAGTGCCTATATTGAAGATTTGGGGCCAAAGAGCTTGTTAGTCCAGGCCCTGAATTTAGATGAGTATTAATAGAACAGGGGAGTATGGAATGAGGGTCACAGTATTGTGGTAGAAGACCTGGGGCTCCTTCCCAGCGGGGCTTTTCCCTGATTTCTTCCAGGCGTTCTGTGTATTGCTTTCCAGAAACATCAGGGACTTTTCTGGTTTCTCTGGAAATGTCAAGTCCCCTAAATGTTCCCCATGGTGACATCACAGGTTCTTTCCTCACTGGACAGTACCTTGTAGGCAAGCAGTAATTTGCCCTGCTGACACTTTCCATCCTGCACCAGGCAAACATGACAATTTTCAAGGTAGATACAGACTTCTCTGATGCCCTCCGGGTGCTGGAGCATCTGGACCATTCTGAGTGGGATTCAACCTGTAGTAAGGAAGCTGAGAAGTATTAGGAACTACTAACAAGGCAGTCTAGGGGGTAGGAAGGCAGGACAGGCTGGGGTTTGGGAGGTGCTGGTCCACCAGTCCAATTCTGTCCAATTCTGAAAGTTGCCCAAAGATGAGCTTTCTTTTTTCAGGCACTGGGAAACCTCCATCCACCTTTTGGGGTGATCTTGGTTTCTTGGTAGATTACGTTTTTTTTCATCAAGTCCCTAAAGTTGTTGAGGAACCCCAAAAATATGTGGGTTTTCAAGGGTGAGAAAGGCTCAGCAGAGTCAGCCCTGTATGTGAATCCCAGCTCACCTACTGACCAGCTACATGGTCTTGGATGAATGAACAGCTCTGAATCTCAACTTTCTCACCTCTGAAATGGATATTTTAATACTACTTGCTTATGTCGTTGTGAGGAGTAAATTAGATCATATATGTGAAGTATTTAGCACTGTGCCTGGCCCTTGGCTGGTGTTCAGTAGTTACTAGTTGTCATTATTATTGTTGGTCCCGAAACTGGCTCTTTTTCTTTAGTAGGAGGGAAAAAAAGCTCTCTTGCAGCACAATAAATACTGTACTCTGAAGCTGTCACAGAACTTGGCTTCGTTACCTCTCTTGCATGGAAAAGATGGCTTTCACTTTGAAAACAAGGATTCTTTTTCAAAATCCCCCAAAGTGAAATGAACACAAATCCCTCTTGTAATTCCTCCCTCCCTCATATCCTTCTCGTTTATTCTATCTTCTTCCTCTTTTCCCCCCAAAGACGACTCTTTTGTGAATAAGAATCTTTTTTTTATTCAGTTGACAACTCACCTGGTCTTTCGTGTTTTTCTTTTGGGTTTTTTGAACACAGTCCATTGCAAATGCTGTAATAACAGGGTCAAATCCCTTCTCTCAATGTCTCAGGGTCTCAGATTTGCCTTGTTATTTCTCACTCCCCATCTCCTTGAGTCATAAAAAATCTTTAATGCTCAATGAAATCACTAAAAAGCTAAAAAACATAAATGAGTCTTCCTTTTAAACCCTGTAATTCTCAGTCTATTGTTATTGCAACTCTTGCATTTTTAATAAACGGGCAGCACTATGGGCCTTCCCCAAGGGTGGAGTGCGGCGGAACCGGAGAATGGAGTGTGCTTTTGCTGGCTTAATAGTTCCAACAAATATAAATAGAGGTTGAGGTTAACATTATTAACTCATTTTTTCCCCTAAAACTGGTCAAGGTCACTGCAGACTGCATTGTGATGTGAAATAAGAATAGTGCTGCAGAGTGGAAACCAGACCGCAATCTGGGCCTTGTCACTTAGCTCAACTTCAGACATGACGGTGTCCACTTGGTGAGCCTGGTCTCCTGGCCTGTGATTTGGGACAGTGATACTGAGCTGAAGGTTGTTTTAAGAAGTGGGACACATGTTGGAGGGCCTGGCAGAGAGTGGACACTCAGTGCTTCGTGCTCTCATTGCCTCCCACGGTGGGGGCCTGAGTGATGAAACCCTCGCCGGCTTCCTCAGC